GATTATAGGTAATGAATAATGAGTGTCTTGCAGAGGAGATTAAACTAATTGATGGAGAGAAGCAAGAACTGAGAACTGAACTTGATTACAAAGAAGGTGTGATAGTTGATCTATTACTCAATTACTGATGTTACTTATACTAATGGTATAGGATCAATATTTGAACAAGATAAAGAACTGAATATCATCAAAAAAAGAAAAGGTATAGTTAGTGAATGATGAAGATATTTTATTAATGTATTTTTACTTGTATAGAGTATATTGAAAGGAGACTAGAGACACCAGGTATAGTACTAACTTAAAGCATGTATTAAAGTAATGTGGAGTTGATTAATCATTTGAACAATCAGTACAATTATCTTATAAATTAAAATTCTCATTGTGTCATTACTGTAGAGTCTAAACTGAAAGTGAAGCTACTGACTAGAGGGAAGTTGATAAATAAAATATTCAAATCAAAGAAATCAGAGACTCAGTGTTTTCAAACCTCTCTCCTAGAGAAAGCAGGTACTGACTTTACTGGTATAATCTGTCTATACTACCTCATCACAGGAAGAAAGAAGGCATTAGTGGAGTATAAGAAAGAGATTGAGTTGCTACAAGAAAATATATCGATAACTAGTGTACAGCTGCTGATGAGTCAAAAAGCAAATATTGAGAGTATGTGATATGTTAGTAATTAAATCAATAACTGATTGATATATTGTATAGAGAAGGATCAGTGTACACAATCACTGGATACACCAACAGCAGAATCTATTTACACAGCACGTATTGACTATCATAAAATATGGAGTGGTGATCTTTCATTCAGTGAGGGAGAGCAGCTGGAGATATATAACAGGTCTGATAGTTTTTATTGGAAAGGCAGATCCTTGGTGTCTGGTAATGAGGGAGAGATTCCTAGTAGCTATGTTTACTCAATGTTGGAGTCACTTCAATTTTTAGAGTTTATACTGTCAGTGGAAGAAGTGTCCCTTCCTATTCTACAGGAGATAAGGAATGATTCATCTAGTAATGATGAGAAAGCTTCTCTTTTCTTGGAGACTATTAATGATGATCCTATCATGATATCTGCACTGAGACAAGACAAGGAACAACATGATGAAGGTAATATTTTTGGTTATTGTGACAGTCAGTATAATTAGATTGATTTATGAACATGCAGTGTCATGCATGTACATGCATACGTATTAATTAAAGCACTGTTGAGTACTCTGAAATTATTGCACGAGGGGCGGTTGTCGGTTGAGAGAAAAATGTAGCACGAGGTGAAGCCGAGTGCTACATTTTCATCGAGACTGTCCCGAGTGCAATGATTCCCGTAATTACGAATCAACAGTGCTTTGATTGGTTTGTAGTGGTGCGTGGGCAGATCAAATTTCGTTTCAAAAGTCGCATATTATACTGTCCAGTACTACATATTCCCAACACTGCTACATTTTCTACAATACTGCTACAATACTGCTACAGGCGATCACCTACGCACCATACTACAATTGTGTATGTAGCATGTACAATGTACATCTAATTTTAAATATTTTATACATTATATTTTTGTCCATAAATATGTGCCGGGACATGTGATGTGTATGTATGTATGTACATATGTATTGTGTGTGTGTATTTGTTTATTGGTTGTAGTGACAACTAACAAGTTGTGTGTGTTTGTATATACACATGATGTGAATATGTGTATTATTATGTGCATACATGTATATAAGTATAATCCTTTGGTTTATACTAGGAGTCATTGGGAGTGTGGACTGGTACAGTGACAGTGTATCCCTTACCTCTCCATCTCCAGTTCAGTGTAATGAAGTGATTAGTAATATTAATAATAATCATAAGGAGATTCACCTCCACTCCTCATCTACTAATAGTACAGTATCTCTACTATCATCAACTAAACCGCATACCCTAAACCTGAGGAGACTTAAGATATGGTACACTCCATTAACTAATGATTGTATCCAGTACTTGTGTATACTTTTAACTAATAATAAAACAATACAAGAACTAGTCATCAGGTTACACTCCATTAGTGATAGAGGAGTTACTAATATCTGTCAAGCACTTGAACACAACTCTACACTTACCTCATTAGATCTTACTGATAATCCTCTCATCACTTCTACTAGTGGACAGGCTCTTTCTCACCTCCTCTTCAATAACTCATCACTAGTTGAACTGAATCTAAGGAGGACTTCATTGTCTACTG